GGCACAGCGTGCCGGCCAGCAGCTGCAGCGGGAGCGACCGGGCCGCGCGGCTCGCGGCCCGGTCGCTCCCGCTGCAGCTGCTGGCCGGCACGCTGTGCCCTGACAGCTGGGCCTCGGCCGCTCTCGTCTCAGCCGCGTCCCGCGCCGCCGCAGGTGACCACTCGCCGCGCCGCCGGAGGCTTCACCCGCGTCCTCCTTCAGGACGCGCCCGCGGAGCTCGGGCGCCTTCGCCCCGGACCCGGAGGCCGCGCTGCACGGGGCGGCGGCGAGGCCGGAAGATGGCCTGGGTGCTCAGTATGGACGAGGTGATCGAGTCCGGGCTGGTGCACGACTTCGACTCCAGCCTGTCCGGCATCGGGCAGGAGCTGGGCGCCGGCGCCTACAGCATGAGGTAAGGGGCGCGCGGCTGCCTCCGCCGGGTGGAGCCTGGGCCGTGGGGTCGGGGGTCCTGCCGCGTGGCGCCGTGGCCTCGGAGGCCGACGGGGGCGGCTAGCGGTGGAGGACTCCGTCGTTTCTGCCAGGGGAAGCCGTGCTAGCTGTTGAGATTGGGTCAGAGGGGCAGGGGCTTCCTTTCCAAGTGATTTACGAGTCTTTTTTAGCTGAAATAGGCTGTACAAAAGGCACCAGTTCCAATGGGAAAACTGCAGCTTTTTCTAGGTGCCTGTTAGCATGGCCTGCGATTTTCAGCCCCTTGACATTATGATAGTAAGTTATATTGTGAGTGAAAGTAGCCCTGAGGGTTGGCGAGCGCAATGACTTGCTTGTAGTCTCCCGATTGAGAGTGAAGTTGGGCCCTTGCCTAGGTTTCTTCATTCTCAAAGTGACTCCCCTCAGGCTGTTTCCTGTTGCAGAGGGCTTTAAGATTGTGCCACAAACAATAGTTTAGTCACTGCTGTCTGCACCAGCAGCTGTTCCGTTTTGTGTAAAGGGGAGAGGTTGAAACAGATAGGAACCAAGTATATCTGCCCCTTACTTCTCCCAAGAGTTGAAGAGCTCGTATTGGCTCGGCAACTCTTTGTTTCGATGTTGGAATATGGCTTGTGTAGGATATGGTTTCCCCGAGGAGGTAAAAAAACTGAGTAGTTTTTGAAACTGGTGTGAGTTAAGTACTCAGTTTTCAAGAAAATGGATGGTGTGTAAGTGTGCGAAGTGCAGTGCGGGTTCCCAGTAGCTCTCCTACTTTTCCTGCCGTCCGGGGGAGGTCAGAAGCATTAATACCCTAAGAGAAATGACCTGGGTCAGAGCTGGTCTGCAAAAGCCCAGCCTCATTTCTGAAGCAGTTTGCCTTGACTCTGCAGTCGAGAGGTTTCTTGGCCCGTGGAAAGAAGCGGTGGAAAGCATACTAAACTAAGAATTAAGCCGCTCGCATCTGACCCTGATTTGGTCTCTGCTCGCCTCCCTAAACTTGGCACCTCCTTTCTCTCCAGTTGTGTAACTTGAAGGCTTTGGATGAGGTGGATTGTTCTCTAGAACAACTGTTAGTTGTTGAGGAAATTGAGCTACTGAAAGTCTAGGGCTCATCCAGAGAGGAGTACCGAAGAGTAGGCTCTTCAGTGGAAGTCTTCCTTTAGTGAGTGTCCTTGTCCACTTGAGAGCTCACCAAGGGAGCCCAACCTTGTCTCCTTGCTTCATGTTTTCAGTCAGATGGAGCTACTGAAAAGCTTGCTTATTGGTAGTTTTTAGAACGTGGCTTTTTTTCTAGTGTCCTCTGTGAACCAACTGTGCTTGGTTTTTTAATGATTCTACCAATTTGGCTAACTTGTGTTTGGGGTTATTTCTCTGAAAAAGAAGTCAATTCTTGGTGGCAGCCTTCTCTTAATAATAATAATCTTTAAGGCATGCTGGCATCTTTATGGTTCTCATCTATGATACGCCACTCGGGAAAACCTTTTCAGTGTTTGTGGCTATGTCATTTAATCTAAAATTTCCAGAGTCTCAGAAAGTATTAGTTTTTGAGGGGACTTGTTTATTTGTTTATATTTAATTGGGTCATGAGAAATCAAAAGGAGTTTGCTTCTTGTGCCTTCAAGGCTTTTAATTTGAAAATTTCAAGTATAAAATATTGTAAATTGAGCTGACAAGCAGAACCTCCAAGGGGCATTAAGCTTCTGTAGGCTTCCCTTACCCCTAAGTCACCCGGAGCAGTTTGCTCCTTCTTCCAAAAGGAAGCAAGCTTATCTTTTTGTTATTTATTCTCACCTGTGAAGCCCAAGAAGTAAGCCTGATATGGTGCTCACATCTGTAATTTCAACACTTGGGAGACTGAGGCAGGAAGGTCATTTGAGTTTGAGTCAAAACTTGGGTACATATTTTGACCGTCATACAGATACATATAGATCAGAGAGTATACTTGAACTTCTTGGGAAAATCTTGATAAAATTTTGGTTTGATGGGCTACAGAGATGGCTCAGCAGGTAACGTCATCTGCTGTCAAGCTTGCCAACGTGAGTTCTAGCCCCAGGAACACATGGTGAAAAGAGGGCTGACTTCTGCAAGCTGTCCTCTTACCCCATGCATATTGAAGGTATACTTGTGCTAATTGTATTTTATTTTTTAATTAACTACAGGCTGCTTTCTAGTGTTCTTTATACTGTATTTGCTGTCATGTATTTCATAAAATAGAATTTATTCTGTCTCTAACCTCAGGGCTTTAGGAGTGTACTAGGTAAGGTCCTTCTTTCTTTCTTTCTTTCTTTCTTTCTTTCTTTCTTTCTATCTTTCTTCCATTCCTTTCCTTTTCCTTTTTTTCTTTATTTTTTGAGTTGAGGTTTCATTATGCAGTCCAGGCTATCCTGAACTCACTATGTAGCCTGGGTTCCTGAAATAAATCTTGAGTGCTGGGATTATAGGACTAAACCACCATTTCTTTCTTTTTTCTTTTTTTTTGGGGGGGGGGCTGGGGAGAGTCTCATTTAGCTCAAATATCAGCGGATAACTTCTGATCCTCCTGCCTCCACCTCTAGAGAGCTTGGATTATCCTGCTCTGTGCGGTGCTGAGGTTGAATTCAGGTTTTTGTGCATAGTAGCTAGTCAAGCACGTTACTGATTGAGCCATATCTTCTGCCTTTGTGACTTTTTTAAGACTTTTTTTACACTGCCTTGGAGCTTACAGTATATAGCCCAGGGTGGCCTCAAACTTGAGATCTGCTTCTGCTTTCCAAATACTGCAATTTTATTCTTAGAACTTATGTTCTAGGGATGCTTTCTTTAGCTTTTGTGGACAATAACTTGAAAGAACTGGAGCATTGCTTTTCTTATGTATGGCATTATACATGTTTTATTAAATAATGTAGGCTGGTGGTATTGTAACCGTGTTTAGGACTTTCTGATACTCCCTTTGCTTTTCTTTTTCTGGGAAATGGTCTGGCTCTCATTTTCCAGGACAGCCTAACTTGTAAGCTAACTGTTCAGATTCCATTTGAAATGAACCAATTCATACATAAGTCTTATTTTTTTAAATTACAATATCAGTTCTAGGCTGGGGTTGTAGTTGAATTGATAAGAGTCCTTGACTAGGTGCATGAAGCCCTGGGTTCAATCCCCAGCACTGCCTATACAGGGCACAGTGTTACAAACATCTCTTGTAGGTAGAAACATCAGACTTTTAAGGCTATTTTGGGCTACATAGCATGTTCCAGGCCAGCTCGAGGTACATGAGATTGTCAAGAAAGAAAGAGAGAGAGAGAGAGAGAGAGAGAGAGAGAGAGAGAGAGCGAGAGCCAAAGCCCTTACTAATTGGTAAAATAACTACACATCATTTTTATTGTTTTTTTTTTTAAACTAAAAAGTATTTCACAAAAGAAAAAACTTAGCCATAGGTTTTTTTTTATTTCTTATTTTGTGAAACTTAACTTTCTCCTTTGGATTTGCTTATCTGATACAAATAAAGAAAATCAGCCTCACAAAGGTAAGTGCTTAGCAAAAGCAAGTTTACGTAGATAGCCTTTTCAGATAGTTGTGGATAGTCTTCTTTGAAATTATCAACATTTGACAAGTGGTAGTTTACTTTTTTAAAAACTTACTAAGTTGGAGAGGTGGCTCAGTGGTTAAGAGCACTGGCTGTCCTTCCAGAGGACTTGGGTTCAATTCTAAGAAGCATTTGCGTGCAGTCTTTAACTCCAGTCTCAGAGGATCCACAGCCTTCTTCTGGCCTCCTGGGGCACCAGACAAGCATGTGGTGTACAGGCAGACAGACATGAAGATAAAACATCCATACACATAAATAATTTTTTGATTTTTGTTTTTGTTTTATGTAGCCCTAGCTGACCTAGAACTTGCTCTATAGACCAGGCCAGACTCAAACCTGTAGTCATCTGCCTGCCTCTGCTTCCAAGTTGCTGGGGGTAAAGGCATGCACCACCACAGCCCTGCTAAAATAAATAACATTTTAAAACTATTCATTGTGAGTATGGGCATGAGCCACAGCCCTAGAGTGGAGATCAGAGGAAACAGCTTGCTGTCTTCATTTGTCTTCTACTACCATGTAGGTAGGTCCTGCCCATTAAACTCAAGTTGCCAGGATTGGCAGCGATTGTCTTTTACCCACTGAGCAGCCAGTGATAGTCTTCTAAAGCTCTGCTGGCATGTAGACTCTAAAACCATCACATTTCCTTATTCTGGTTTTGCTTTGTTCTGCTGTTTTGAGGCAGAATCTGTTTGTGTAGCCCTTTTGGGTGGAACTTTTTATCCTCCTGCTTCAGGGTGCTGTGTTATAGGCATGTGCTGGGTTACAGCCACGTGCTGCTATGGCCTGTTACATTTTGACACTTTCAAGTTACACAGTATCAAGAAATTGTATTCTATAATTTAGCTGTCAGCCCTGGTGGTGGGGTCCAAACTTTATTACTGCAGCATATTGTCAGCTTTTGCCTTGAATGATGGGCCTACTTTGTTAAATTTTAATTTTTAATGTTAAACTTATTTATTGTGTGTGTGCATACCCCAGAGCATGCTTGGTGTAAAGGTCAGAAAACAGCTTTTGGGAGTGGGTTCTCTCCACCAGATGTGTCAGGAATGGAACTCAGGTTGTTAGGCCTGGCAGCAAGCCCCTTTACCCGCTGAGTCATCTTGCCATTCTTTACTGTGTTAATTTTGAGAACATTTCTGTTTTACATCTAAGTCTGAGTAATCCTACCTTTTCAGGGTAAAATGATGTCTGTTCCAGTCTCACGCACTTGTAAGATCTTTTCCTCAACACCATTTATTAGAGCCCAGAGAAGTTGAGTAGCCTGCAGCATGTCACTCAAAAGAGGGACAGCTGACGTTTGCAGATCCAGACTAGGATTGGCCTCTGTCCTTCTAATTACCTTCTTAAACATTCTACTGATAGTAATTGAGCAGTCTCCGCATAGAAGAGGAGGAAAGTGAGTGGCTGAGAGTCATGATGTTCTT